TTTCGACCGGCTGGATTTGAGTTGATCTATCTTCCTTGCTCGTTGGTGACCTGTTAAACCTGCGAAAACTCCATGCCAGGATTGTTCTTCGGCGTAGAGCCTCCGACGCTCAAGTCAGAGCGTGAATGATGATGACCAGTAGCAGAAATTGTATATTGGACGGTGTAGAGAAGGTCCTATGAAATGGACATACCTTGCCCCCTGGAGTGATGATGACCAGTAGTAGAAATTTACGGTCACCACGTGCGTTAGTTTGATGATGTTCCTGAAGTGAGTTCATGAAGAATTATTATGCTAAACCCGACAGGTGGATTAAATTTCGGCATAGCAATAATGTGATGAACGAGCGCTAGTTTCGGTGAAATAATAATAAATTAATTAATTCTTGATTGTCAGTAATTGAATTAATTAATAAACATTATATCTTAAACATGGGGAGATAAATCGAGTAATTATTATTGGAGTCTCAATTGTAAATTTGACTAAGAAAATAGAGTGCAATAATATTATGTTGGTGGCTTATTTAATATTATTTATTTAATTAAAATAAATGGATTGATCCACAATTACTTTAATTAATTAAGGAGCCCTTCTCTTAATCTCCTAAGGGTCTCTGCTCTAGCTCTATATATACATCATTAAGCTAATGGAAAGAAAACACAATTCCACATCTTGTGAAATCGGCCGTCCCCCATCATTCTCTCTCTCAGTTCCCATTCGAGCTTTATCTTCTTCTTGTTGATCCACCAGTGCAAGGTTAAGAGGTGTTTGAGGTATACAGTAGAAGATCTGTAGGTAAACCGAGACGAAATATATTTTGTCGCACAGAAGTAACCGGAGGTCCGATCAAGATGTGCAACATACCCAGACGACCATCTCGGCGAGGGCTTTCCAACGCCATCAATATAGCCGCCATCCGACGACGCACGCGCCCGCACGCGCCACCCCAAGCTCCCAGGACTGCAAGCTTGTCTTCCTCCGTTTGCACCCGTTTGATCCGGTTTTTAATCTGATCTTGTTCGTGCAACCCTAGGATGCGATTTGCAGTCAACTATTCATTGGTGTGCTGTGTTCGGCCATCCAGAAGATCAACCAGATAGCCATAAATTTTAAGCCGTAAGTTCTCTACGCAAACCTTCAGATCCGCTGCGCATAGGTTTACGTTTTACTATTGAATTCGTGATTTGTGCATAATAAGATCCACATAGATCTCAACAACCTATTCGACCTGCGGTCTCCGTTCGACCTGATGACTTGTTCGACATGAGGTCTCCATTGGGCATGAGGTCTCTGTTTGACCTTATGACATGTTCGGCATGTGGTCTTCGTTTAACCTAATGAGCTCATTTGACCTGATGGCCTATTCAACCTGAGGTCTTCGTTTGACCTAAGGACCTCGTTTGACCTGAAACACCAATCGATCTACCTGCTCATTCGATTTAGTTGGCTAGTTTTTCGGGTCTGATCGAGTATGGTATCCTATATCACCTATTAATGAAGTCTTTCTTCTTTTCTCATCCATATTCCATTCGTATATGTCCAGTCTTCTTTTTCTTCTTCTTATTCTCTCTCATATCTCTATCATTTAATAATTTATTCGAGTGGCGTCGTATCGAAAGCGTGCACATGATGACTGTTTGTAGTTTTTAGCCAAGTACGATCGAAAGATTCCATTCGGGTCGTCTTCTCAGAGGAAGGTTGTTTAGATCTTCGTTTACTATCTAGTCGTCAATTCACAAAATCGAAAATAAGGTCGTAAATATGCTACTTGCTTGAATGTGATTGAAATTAAGCCAATTGGCGCTATGAATTGAAAGCAATTAAGAAATGTGAGAGTTTGGAAGAAAAGATTGGAGCTTTGGTTGGACGGAGTCTCCTTGACTTGAAGAAAGTAAAAATAAACGAAGCCAAACATGCTAGCAATAATATCATGGGTAGTTAAACTGAGTGTTCTTAACTAAATAAATTACGTTTTAACAAATTCGATATGTTTATAACAAGATGGCCACAAATTTAACTCATAACACTCAAGCACGCAAGCAAGAAAAAAGAAAACAAAGTCCTATATAAATCAAGCTTCAACACAAGACTCCGGCCAAAACACAAACTCAAAGAAATAAGCTTTAATCAAGGTACTTACTCTCCTATCGCAAGATCAGACGAAAATAATGCGCAAATATAGAATTTTGTATAAAAATAAATTTTTCGTAATAATCACCGAAAAATATCAAGTCTTAGGCCTCTAAACCAAAACATAAAAAAAAAGAAAAAAAAAAGAGCTAATATCCCAACTAAAAAGTTGAGAAATGAGGATAGTGTCTAAAAATACAAAGCAAGATGTTTATATATAGCTACACCAAAACACAGACTAAAAAACACATATTTAATGAATAGAACTCGTTGGGTCGCCAACTGCATTTTGCGGGCGAGTGTGCTACTAGTTGGACGGGCTGACAGGGCAAGATTAGTGGGCACGCGAACGCCAGTTAGCTGGCGAGTGCGGCATGTGGTGGACGGACCTAACAGGCAGCCCTCGTTGGCACGCGAACGCCAGTTTGCTGGTGAGTGCGGCATGTGGTGGATGGGTCTTCGCGCGGGCACTCGCGCGCTCGCGGCTTGGAGTTTGCTGGAGAGCGTTAGGCAGTGGAGGGGCACGACTCGCGTGCTCGCGTGTGGGATATTGCGGTGTTGGGAGCGCAGTTCGCGCGCTCACAGAACGGGCCTCGCCAGCGAGCGATGGACGTTTGGCGCGGGTCTCTCGACCATGCTCGTGCGGACGCGGGCCGAGGCTCGCCAGCGAGTGTCGGGCGCGGTTGGTACGAGAGTCTTGACTGGAAAATGGTCCGGGACGGCTCGAATGGCTTGAAAAGGCATGGACGGCACGTATGGCGTGTCTTCCCAATCTCGGCAATATGGACCTAATCAACACCAAAATAGATGATGAAAATGCGATAAAGTACTAAAAACACACAAGCGAAAATACACAAAAAATGACAAAATTGACCTATCAACTCTATAACGAACATAAAAAGACTAGACTGTAGCACAGAAACACACGACAAAAACATAACAAACAGCGGGAGGCTCACAGCATTGGCGTACTCAATTTGAATCATGGGCGCCAGCGCTGGTGGCGATGGCCGGAGGATGTTGAGGTTGCTTGAAGCGATCTACCACCCGAAGAATCGTACCTCATACTGCCATAGAATGCGAGACTTGCCATGCGTTCGTCGGTCGGATGCACAACGTCGTATAAACATCGTCTGATCGAAAGTCATGTAATGGAGGTCGATGAGTAACAAAGGGACTGTAAATAATATTTGGGAATTGGGGGTTCAAATCATTGAAGAATGCATTTTTTGTGAAAAAAAAAAAAAAACAAGGTGAAACATTTTATTTTCAAGACAAAAGAATGTGTTGAAATTTGCAATTTTTAGTGTTTTTATGTGAAACTTTCACTGGGTAGTATAGGCATGAGCTGAAAAACGAGGTGCATGTATTGTTTTTTTTATTTTTGTTTCCTTTTCTCTGGTGGTGTATGGTTTATGTATTATTTATTTTATGTGTATGTTTGATATACATAATCTGACAACAAACATTTTTATTTTGGCTTTATCGCAACGACTGTGGTGTATTTGTTGCATCTTTTGCTGCATTTTATTTTGAAGAGTTGATCTTCTTCCACTTCTAGAACGGTAATATATATTTGAAAAGAAGTCCATTGGATCTAGCTAAAGGTCGTAATGGAACGGTTAGCGCGTACGCGGACGCAGACGACGACTATTAATCCGAACTCGAATATATCCCACAAAAAAATTACCAACGGACAACTTAAGAAGAAGGTTTTGGCAGAAAGTGAGGGGGACTCGGAAGATAATATGAGACGGCAAAGTAGCAATTTGTTATTTTTTGTTTCATTGTTGTGTGTGTTTGTTGGACATTTTTCATGGACCTGGTATAAGTATATTAATGGATTTTGTTTCGTTTATTCTTAGTTCTTTCGTGTTTTATGTTTTAATGTTTAGTATTTTGTGAGTAGAATATCATATGTATAAGAGTAATGATTTATAAAAGTATAATAAACCGACTATAATCTATATATAAAATCACAGACTATATTTTTGTACTGATTGCTAAACGTACAATAAACTACAAATACTACAAATAAACTATAGATCGATTTTGTTATGAATTGAAACTAATAATTAGTTTCATAGTGGAGCCAACCTTCTATATACAATAAGTAAACTTATCATATTTTCTAATTACTTAAATAACACTAATATAATTTTATTAATACAGTACGTTTATTTGTTGTATATAAAAGGTTGACTCCACTATAGAATCAACTGTTGGCTTCATAACAAAATCGTAAACTAGATATATAATTTACAATAAAAAAGTTTGTTTGTAAAATATAATACGCTGAGAATAATTTCTTTTTTTAATGTTTCGTGTAAGTTGGCCATTTATAATAGTGTTATGAAACAAAATTTTTTATTTATATATTATTTTGATAAGATTTTATAATTAATTTTATCTTAGTTTACATGTAATAAACTCATTATTAAACAAGCTAATTAATAAATTTTATTTTATTTGATCAAACAATTTTTTTCATAAACAAGTGCAAAACCTCTCATTTTCTCAATCTTCTAATTACCAAGAAAAAAGCAATTCACTTTTGATTTTCTTTTTTTAATCATTTTTCTGTTTATTTTTAATGTCCATTTCAAGCCAAAACCAAAGTGAAAAGTTAATTAATTTTTCCTTTTCTTATCCAACTCCTACACCTTTTTAAAATATATATTCCAACCTCACCAACTGGGGGAACATATCCAATTTTACGAAAGAAGAGGGGGACCAAAATGAATAACACCAAAAATGCCTTACATCATTTTTTTTTTTTT